TTGAAGTTCAGAATGTCTTCTTTCCATCCATATATCATTTGGGCCAATCCAAGGTCGGAGAAGGAAGTTAAGGCCAAAACAAATTGCTAACTCATTTTGCGCGCTGATAAAATCCATCCTGAGCATGGCTCTGTGTTTGCTAGGTAACAGACTCCATATTTATCCAATGGGGCTGCATTTTGGATATGTTATATTACACACCCATTGGAACAACTTTCATGAAGAATGTGGCCTCATCCGAGCTATGTAGGTTGCTGAAACAAAGCTTGCAATATGACCTACGAAACTGGGCTGGCAGGGGACTGTAGCCAAAATTGAGTTTGTCTTTAAGCTCTTCATCTATTCATCCAAATTAGGCCTTAACATGCTTGAATTGCATGAATTATGCTCTCTTGCTCTATTTGCCTACAAAACACACAAAGGGAGGCAAATAACTTAGAAATCTAAGAAACTAAGCAAAAGAAGTAAGTAAATAGGGCATGTATATGTATGAAATTATGAGCTTAACAGTCAACAAGTCAACTTTCTCTTGTGTGCGAGCGTGACACTGTTAACGATTAAAAAAAACCCTATCATACTATGAAATGTAATAACTTGCGCCCCAAGCTATTGACTTTGATCAAGTGATTGTGAATTTGGGTGAGGAATATCTCCCAAGAAAGTTCTTTTCTTGCCTCAAACTGGTGAGGACTTTATAATTTCCCACAGTAAAAACTAGCAAGTCTAGGCAAAATGAGTGTTTGAAAATAAAACAAACAAGTTCAAAGAGCAATGCTTATTATACAATTAAACGAAAGAGACTGCCAAGTCTGGAAGGACATCAAAACATTGGGCTTCAATTTCTGCTTAGATTGTTGTCTGTGGCTCAGGCTGGACTGGATGTGTCTGTATTGGAATTTGCACGTCAACACCTTCAACTAATAGAGATCAGTTGGAAAACGATACCAATGTTGAGATTGGCATAAGTATAATTAATTTGAGCCATTGAGAGGCCTGTAGAACAGGCATAACTAGGATTTCTCCGATCTGGATTGGATTGAAAGGGGCTGGATTGACAGTTGCTGGCCTGGAATTGCACTTCAGTATCTGTTCTGCTTGACTGAGGATCACCTGTGAGCTATTCTAGGGATCTTAAGGCCTCTGAAAATTTGTTGAGGTTTTCATATTATGAACAACATGGGTTCTGCTTGGATCACCTATTCTGAACCAAATTTGTAACGAGAGAAATCTTGTTTTCCTTGTGAATTACTTCTCCGAGCTGGGTTGAAGTCAGAGATTCGAGTTCTGCCTGTTTTGTTGAAAACTGGATGGCTTTTGCAAGCTAGATAGCCTGATTGCTTATGAGTTTGAAGACTTTTAAGATCATGTGATCTTGCTTGATTTTTGTCAGTATGACTAAGAGTTTTGTTCTGATTTGATTTTTTTGTTGTCCTTTCTCCAGTTCACATCCTCTTGTATTTATAGAAAATCTGCATGATGATGATTCTTAAATATCTGGAGGATATTTGCTGAAAAGTATTCGCTCCAATAAACAAGGGAGTAGTAGTTATTCTGACAAGAACAACCCATATCAAGAGTCAGTTATGGTTTATTTTTGCTCACGACTTTAACTCAAGGTGTACCCTCACCACCCATCTCAACACTTGACACGTGTCCCTTGGCATAACCATAGTTAACTCTTTACTTTGTATTTATGCAACCATGGTTATACTAAAGGACACGTGTCAAATGTTGAGATGGGTGGTGAGGGTACACATTGGGTTAAAGTGGTGAGCCAAAATGCTCCCGAGTCAGTTATGGTGATCTGTTTTAACTTTTGTCAATCAACTCCCTTGAATACCTCTTGTGAGTTTTTGTAAAATGGAATTAGATGTTTTTACTGACGAAATCTTCATGGGTATGGAGGGAAACCCAACCTGTTTTCCTGGAATTTAATGGCTATGGGGAGTGGTTTCTATTTTCACCTTTCCACCAACTCCCCTGAATGTCCTCTGTCTGTTTCCTGTTGACGTCTTGTCGTTGGAATCACGTAGGTATTGCGGAAAGAAACTCAACCCCTCTAGCTATAGAGCCGCTGATCTGGCTTTGAATCGGTAACCAACAGTGATGATCAAACCTCAAGCCTTTAAAAATTGTAATCTAGAAACTAGGTAAAAATTAAACCAATCAAATCCGGTCTTTTAGATTAAATCACCATTTGTGGTAATTAATCTCTATCCCGTGAAGATTAATTCAGGTAATTGGTTTCATTTTAACTTCCCCTTTTTGAAATGACCTGGACTGATCTCCAATTTTGGTAAATAGAGCCTAAGTCCATTTTGTCAAAATAGCCCAATAGCCAGATGGGCCGGCACACAGAAATTAGGCCCAAACATGATCATATAATTTTTTCTGCAAAATAAGATTCAATCAAAACTCCAAGTTCTCAATGACCAGGAGTTGCCAAATCAAATGAAAACAATTGAATTACAACCCAAAGTATAATACTCATGCTAGAATTAAACCTCAAAACTCAACTTAAACCATATGAAATTGTTTATCCAAAAATGGCATGGAAGCTTTTGAGGACAAAATCTTAGTCCTCCTTCTAAAACTCTTGGACCACGATCGCATAAGATCGAGTTCATCTTTTTCAATGAACAAACCTAGAATCACTCTATAACTTAATTTAAATAAATAGTTACTCCCACTTCAGATGGGAACTAATTACAAGTGATGCCTTTGTTTGCATACTTACTTTCCTCACTCATGTTTCAATTAGAGCCCCAGTAGAATAACTGGATAAATTTGTCCTTTGAAATATTTTCTTACAAATTGTTCATTTTAGTATGAAATTTCTGGAAATATTGAAAGAGCATATGGCTTTAAAATGCATTTCCTATGCAGGCAGTTTTTATTAACAATTATGGAAAGCATTGGGTCACAAATTCCCTCAGCTCCATTCAAAGAAATAAGAGTACATAATAATAGTTCATCATTTTGTTTTTTCTTTTTCCTCCATTGATCAAAGGCGAAATCTACAAAGAAATGCTTGAAAATACAAAAATTACAGACACCTGATACAATATGGGGGCAAGGCCCTCCACCATAACAGAAACCATTGTGATAAAACCAAATTAATATCAGGAAAAAAAAAACCAAAAAACAAGCAAACAAGCTCATGACAGATTCTAAGATAAGACAGAAACCTGAAACTTGAAAAAGGAAAAAGAACAAAGAACAAAGAAAAAAGGGCACCAAAATGATAAATTGATAGTCAATTACTTTTGCAATGAGTAAAAGACTAAACTACGTATAAAGTAACTTGTAATAATCAAACATTCAGTACTAAAATTAAAAAGGAAGAAGGTAGGAAATTGTACCTGATTAGTCATCAACTAAGCAACATTTAACTACCATCTTGGCTGAAATCAGTACTAAAATTAAAGCAATCAACGAACCCAAATTAGAGAAACTGTGATTATCACTTTATATCTTGTGTTGTGGAACTATATATGTATTAAAAAAATAATCAACTACCCGACCATCATGGATTCATACATTTCAAATTCACCATATACAGACCAAAACAGAATATATAGAAATCATATCGGCAGCATTTTAAATTTCAGAAAAGTTGAAAAAAAGTACCAGAAATTAACGATCAACAGTCTCACAATGCAAGCGGGAAGAAAACTCCAAATCAGATTTCTTCAATTTTAATACTATCTATGAACAGTTACCATGTGAAATATATGGCAACTCAATCCTTTTTCTAAAACTAGAGGCCACCTTAGGCAAAATGGAAGAGGACTATTTCACCTTCAATAAGATTTGACTGAACTACTCTAGTAGAAGAAAATGCCGAATCATATAAGTTCAGATATTAGAATTATCATTTTTCAGACCTTGCATGTTAAATCTCTCTTGTTGCTTAGATTGTTGCATCTTTATGATACCATCTTAAAAGGATTCCACAGAAAAAAAATACAAAATAAAAAATAAGAAAGAAAGAAAAGAAAGCATGAATGCCCAATTTCAACATGGAACAAAACATACCACATTCAAATACCTGCTCAATGTTATATCCAGGGCTTGGATCACTGGAGAGTGTTAATACCCTGGCGAATCCATCCAAGCAATTTCCAACGGCATGTCAATGGTCTCTCCAAAGATTCGATACCACCCTTCACCATATGCAATTACCTGTGTGTTCCCACACTGACATACAACATAACAGGATCATATGCACCTGTCACAATCCTTCCCATCTCAATACGTGCACTGCAATGATTAACTGCAACAATGGGCTTCTTCCATAGCTGTGAAAGAACCCTAACAACAATGGCAGCAACTTGTAATGGTGCTCCCATGCCAGGACCCTTGGTGTAACAAAGGCAATCAATTTCCTTGGCCGTTATTTGGGCAGTTTCCAAAGCAGATTTAATCAGTGGGAGAACGTGTTGGAGATGGTGCTGTGCAGTTTCGTGGGAAGGAACCCTTGGCCGTGAGGGGTAATGCATGTGTTGCACGAGTTTGACAAAATTGTTACCCCAACACCAATCTTGTTGGCTGAACCCTCAAACCCTAGAGCTATCATCTTCTTCATTCTTGTAGAAGGCACACTCTGTAAATCAAAAGGAAATTCAAACAAAGTCCAAAATGTTCGACTCACAAATACTTTTTATGCACCTTGTCTGCAATATATTCTGGGTGGCTTAATTTCCATGGAACTGGCAAAGTTTGATCAGCGGATACGATGGGCAAAAGGCTCAGGATCAGCTTTGGGAGCTGGTTTAACCTCCTTAGGGTCCCCAAAAACATTCCATAACTTCAGTGTTTCATGAGCTGCTGATGCTACTGTGCAACCATTTGGGCTCTGAGTCATATAAAGGACTGTAGAAGTATGACCAGTGAGTTCTGCAATTCTAAACATTGATGGGTATTTCCAAAGAGTAAGCTGATTCTGAGTAAACCCATGTGCGCTAAGCAGCTCTCGTTCATTCATATTCCACAGCAAAGCACAAACCTGAGAGCCAGTGTCAACAGAGTTCAGGCATGCACCTGTGTGAGTGTTCCAGAACTTTATGCACCGATCATCATTCCCGCCTCCACCAGAAGCTAGCAAATTTCTCTGGAAAGGACACCAAGCAAGGGCTTTTACAGCAGCTGTATGATCTTGGAGCCTGTGAAGCCACTGTGTTCGTGAATATGATCTGTTGTCCCATATATGGAGCAGGTTATCATTTCCTCCACTTGCTAATTGCTGGCCTGAAGCTGACCATTTAAGCCCACAAACCTCTTGCTCATGTCCTCTGTATGTCTCAACAACAATGTGCGATCCAATTCTTACATCATTGTTAACGATGCGGCCATCCATTCCTCCAGTTGTAAGAATGTGATTGTTCCATGCCAGTGAGCCTACTCGCGATCGGTGGCAACCTCTCAAGGTTATCACATGAGAACTGGCCGTTGTATCCCATAGCTCTACTTCGGAATTGTTCAGTCCAATGGCAATCTGGCGTCCATCAATAGCCCAATTGACGCTGGTAACAGGTCCCCTTTCATCCTCAAATGTGGCCAGTTCCCAAGTAGAATCATCAGTAGCATCCCACAAATAAACTGTGTTTGCAAGAGCTATTGCAAGAACATTGGAGCTTCCCCAATCCAACAAATTAAGGTAGTAATCATCCATAAGGTAGGGAGCATCAAGTGTTCTGTCTGCACTTTGAGAAATATATCTTCTTTGTGCCTTAGGGGGGTTTGATTCTGTATGTTTATCCGAAGAGAAGTTGCTTGGGAAGAGCTCTACACGGGGAGGAGTCTTATTCTTGAAAGCAAGAATTCTACTGCGGTTCATGTTCATGGCCTCAGCCAACAGCTTCCGATAGCCTTCTCCATATCTAGGTGGATTTTCTATTACTTCAATCAAATCCAATTAATCTAGTTAGTTTCACATTTTTTTGACTCGTGGTGCTCGTACATAACGTAATGAGAAAAATGAAATTTTGAGATTAAAAAAAACAGGACTCGTTGCACAAGGTTTCTCGTATAGACCTAGAATCGATTAGGAGAAGACATTTAGAGCTCCATTTTGGAAGAGTTTACTGTTTACTGATCTAATTTTGGTGAATTTGATAATACGTCTGTCACTAGTTTTCACTTAAATTTGCAGAAAATAGAGGAAATTGTAGTAAGAATTCTTGCAAACTAAAATATTCAAAAGTATCTGTAATATATTCAAATTCAAAAGTACAACCGTAATAAGAGCTAAAGCCCAACAAAACAGTATCAATACACTGAATCTCAATGATTCAAAGTTAATGATATTATGTGCTTCTTGGACTTGGAAAATCATTCCAAATACGGCTTGAAAGGACTTAGCCTTACCTGATAAACCTAATAAAAAACAATACATTAATTTACAGAGCCGAATGGAGATCGAATTGAGGTTGATGCATACATAATTTTTTTCGATACCAAGGTACATGTGGGGCTTGAACCTGTCAATTGGAAAACATGAAAACATAGTAAGCAAAGCAAAGCAAAGAGGATTTAATTTCACATATATATATTTTTTTTAACATTCATTTAAGGAAAAGAAAGATCTCTTCAAACTATCCTTCAAGTGTAAGGGAGAAAAATAAATGTTGTCCTCTAATCTAACCATTTTTCTTCCTCAGTCATCAAACAATCCTCTATGAGGAAGTTATGTGAAGTAAACAACTTCACAACTCATGTGGAATGAAGAAATAGGCCTGTGTGACAGACTAATTTGAGTTCCTAATCCGGCTTTCCAGGTGTTTTCAATATGAAGTTTGATGCAGGAGCAGCAGGACAGAAGCATATATACATGCATACACATACGCAGAAAAACGCACACACAAGCATATACACACATAAACACGTGCTCACACATTGACATACCGTTATTTTGATTTGTGTCTTTTAGTGTTATTTAATTAGGATTTTCCTTTTGGGAAAAGAAACACAAAGACAAACTTTATTGATAAAAAGAAGAAAAATTACAGGCATGGGCAAGATAAGTACTCCTTAGGTGCTTAAAGCAGGAAAAGATATAAAAATGAATATAAACGATGTATTCCTTAGGCAAAGGCTTAGACAATCATACTAAACAGTCTTTACATAGTTCAATGGTAGGAAACTCAAAGCTAATTACTCATGCAAATATCTTCCTAAGTGTCAATTCTTTCTGTACAAGAAACACCATACCTCAAGAATTATAAGATTTAGGTAGTCTCATCCATGAACCCGTTTAAGTTTTTCTGACTCCTCTTTTAGTCTCCAGATTGCTTCCACTTCATCAGTTCGGAACCGTTGTGTAAAAGTCGATTCCTCAAACGGGGTTGATGAGCCATGAGAAAAAGCAAGAAGACCAGTATAAGCAATCATGGCACCGTTATCAACACAATACCTATCATCAGTTGCAAACAACCTTCCACCCCGTTCAGAGCACATAATTCTCATCATCTCTTGCAAGCGTTCGTTGCAACCTACACCGCCAACAATAAGGACATCTTTCTTGTCACAATGTGCCATTGCTCGCTCCGTTATCTCCACAAGCATTGCAAACACATTTTCCTGAACCAAATTAATAAAATTAAATAAATCATGTAAGTAGTCCATCATTACAGTCATCATTCTTCCTCTTTTGCTTGCAGAGAGTTATTAAATTGGAAATTATTTGTCGCTCTTTTTTCCTGATAAGTCCCATTTGCTAAATCCTATTTTCCCATCAAAATAGCTTTGATTCCAAAGTTAACCTGGAGTGAGTAGCATAGATCTGCAGGGGTGCACTCACTATTCTTGAGCTTCTCCACAGCAGTGGCTTCAATGTAGCTCAAAATTCCACTAAAAGACACATCCATCCCTTTCACAGCATAAGGAAGGTCTATAAACTGTTCTCCTTTCTTTGCAAGCTGGGAGGGGAAGGGATCACACAAGTCATGCTGGAAGCACTTCCACAAAATATTCAACTAAAGCATGGGATAGAAACGTAGCTCAAATCAAATAATAAGCATAATAGTGGTAATAATGATGACACTAACGATGATGATAATTCAACTTCAAGAGTTATTACATATGGATTTCTTATGCCCATTCAGTGCAATAAGCTTGACTGCATCACCTGATCATCCTAAAATTTGGCAAACTATATGACTCTAGTTTATAGAGATGACTATGAGTTTGAAACCATCTGTAAACATTAGGGAACTATACATGTATTAAAAAGATAATCAACTATCCGACCATGATGGGTTCGCACATTTCAAATTGATTCACCATATACAGGAATGCAATAGGCCACCCACAACAGAATATATAGAAATCATATCAGCAGCATTTTAAATTTAAAAATGTTTTTAAAAATAAGTACAGAAATTAACAACCAACATTCTCACAATGCAAGCGGGAAGAAAACTCCAAATCAGATTCCTTCAATTTTAATAAAACCTATGAACAGGTACCATGTGAAATAGATCATACAAAATATGGCAACTCAACCTCTTCGCTAAAACTAGAGGCCACTTACGCAAAAAGGAAGAGGGAAGCCATTTCACCTTCTGCCTAAATAAATGCCACTAGCTCCCATATTATACACTTTTCCAGTTTCGTTTTCTTTTTGGGGTCACAATAAGATTTAACTGAACTACTGTAGTAGAAGAAAATGATGAATCATATAAGGTCAAATATTAGAATTATCCTTTTTCAGACCTTGCATGTTAAATCTCTCTTGTTGCTAGATTGTTGCGTCTTTATGATTAAGAAATCAAATTAAGTCCAGCCCAAGTTAAACCCCAACATAGTAACAAGTAAGAACAGCTAGTTCTCAGATTTCTTGGAAAAAGAAAGGAGAAAAAGAAAGGAAATCTTGATAAGATAACTTAAAAGGATTCCATAGAAAAAGAAAAGAAAGCATGAATGCCAATTTCAACCTCTACTGATTCAATGGAACAAAACATACCACATTCAAATACCTGCTATATCCAGGTCTTGGATCATTGGAGAGTGTTAATACCCCGGCGAATCCATCCAAGCAATTTCCAACAGCATATCAATGTTCTCTCCAAAGATTCGATACCTCCCTTCACTATATGCAATTACCTGTGTGTTCCCACCACTGACATACAACACAACAGGATCATCTGCACCTGTCACAATCCTTCCCATCTCAATATGTGCAACGCAATGATTAACTGCAACAATGGGCTTCTTCCAAAGCTGTGAAAGAACCCTAACAACAATGGCAGCAACTTGTAATGGTGCTCCCATGCCAGGCCCCTTGGTGTAACAAAGGCAATCAATTTCCTTGGGCGTTATTTGGGCAGTGTCCAGAGCAGATTTAATCAGCGGGAGAATGTGTTGGAGATGGTGTTGTGCAGTTTCGCGGGGAAGGAACCCTTGGCCGGGAGGGGTAATGTATGTGTGGCGTGGGTTTGACAAAATTGTGCCATCTAAGGTGACAACCCCAACACCAATCTTGTTGGCTGAACCCTCAAACCCTAGAGCTATCATCTTCTTCATTTTTGTAGAAGAACTCAGGCACACCCTGTCAATCAAAAGCAAATTCAAACAAAGTCCAACATATATATGCAATTTCAAGCCCAAATAGAGACACTAAAATGCCAAAATTATTTTCAAATACATTTGTATATGTAGATACACGAAATAGACCTTCACCTTTCAGAAATTAACAGGCACTGTTTTTCAGAAACACATACACTCCTTTGACTGAAACTGAACTGACGATACTAAGCAGAACTGAATTAAAACAGCAAGTCAATGTGAAAAAAGAACTTATCTTCCACAAAATATCCCAAAATTGTAAACAAACAAAAACAAAGAAACCTAATGACTGAGAAAGGGTGACGACAGACAGAAGAAATGCTAAAAAGAAGGGACATGGAAAGAGCCTAGGCAAATCGGTGTGGCCCAAAAAGGATATGGGGCGGTTCATAGAGACCCATAATGACAGTGGGCCGAAAGAGAAAAACGTTTTACTTGGGTCAAATGATGCACCCAAATGTTACAGTGACGGTGGACCTATTATGCGAACATTTTGGGCCTTCAATATCTGATTCCAAGTTTTACTCTTCTTTTTTTTTTTTTGGGTCAGAGTAGCAATTCATTGCAAACCAACAAAAGGGCAAAGAACACTACAAGCAAAGCCGGGCAAAAACACCCGCAAAGGAAAGCAACGAAAATTAAACCAGGTACCGATCTAACTAAAACCAAAGTGCGGCATAGCATGAAGATTGTAATCCCAAACGGAAAAGAAACTAAAGCGGCATAAAGCCAACAAAAACAAAAAAGAACACAAATGGGCGTAAAGCCCCCAAAAGGAAATAACCCCGCATAAGGCTAGAAGCCCGCATAAAACCTAAGACAAACAAGGAAATGATAGCTGTCACAAGCAAACCAAGCCAATGAAACCTTGAAACATACAACAACCGAGGTTCACCAACATTACTGGAATTGACCCCGTTCAAACATCCCGAAGAAAGCATCCAGCAAACAGAGAATGAGAAATCCCATCCCAAAGCAAACATGGTAACCAGAACCGGGGGGGGGGCTGCATTGGGGGGTCCACACCCCTTTTGATGGTGAGATGGGCCTCCTCAAATAGCCTCCTCACTATAAACCCTCATTATAGAAGCTCCCGGACCTATTATGCGAACATTTTGGGCCTTCAATATCTGATTCCAAGTTTTACTCTTCTTTTTTTTTTTTTGGGTCAGAGTAGCAATTCATTGCAAACCAACAAAAGGGCGCAACGAAAATTAAACCAGGTACCGATCTAACTAAAACCAAAGTGCGGCATAGCATGAAGATTGTAATCCCAAATGGAAAAGAAACTAAAGCGGCATAAGGCCAACAAAAACAAAAAAGAACACAAATGGGCGTAAAGCCCCCAAAAAGAAATAACCCCGCATAAGGCTAGAAGCCCGCATAAAACCTAAGACAAACAAGGAAATTATAGCTGTCACAAGCAAACCAAGCCAATGAAACCTTGAAACATACACCAACTGAGGTTCACCAACATTACTGGAATTGACCCCGTTCAAACATCCCGAAGAAAGCATCCAGCAAACAGAGAATGAGAAATCCCATCCCAAAGCAAACATGGTAACCAGAACCAACAGACAAGAAGGAGGTGGTGTAAGCACTCGAGCTATAGCTCTACACACCTTCCAATAGATACGCGTAAAAACGAGTTTAATTTTTGCAACTGCAAGTCGAGGATGAAGCCAAATCAAAAGGGATAAACCCTAAACGGGATATTTGGGAAAATGGGTGAGTAAGCGGAAAGGTCATGAGCAAAGTCGCCATGATAACCAAAATGGGATTTTTGAAACGGAAAAGTTCCTTCTAGTAAAGAACTGTCAAAGGAATCCCCAACCCTTGACAATTCCATGACAGTAGTATCATGACGCACATGTGGCTGTTGGCCAGCCACCACCGCCAGATATCTTCAATCTATGTTCCTCCGCTTTCATCAGTTCCAATGCCACAACGTCTATAGATTTGCACTAAAATGTCAAAATTATTTTCAAATACATTTGTATATGTAGATACACGAAATAGACCTTCACCTTTTAGAAATTAACAGGCAACTGTTTTCCAGTAACACATACACTCTTTTGACTGAAACTGAACAGACGATA